CTTAAACTCAAGGTCATAATATTTGTCCAAAATGTATGAATAAAACATTGTGTTATAAATGTATGTGATTAATATTTTCAAAATATATGGTTTAACAATACATTACAATACGATAGTATTTTCACAAAATTATACTGACAGCCTATTATATAATAGGTATATGATAAAGGTTTATTGGTCGATATGATATAAGTAMTTATGTATAGATCTTGAATATAATATTAGAAGATACGTATTATGTAATTTATTATACATATATAACCTAGGTACTTTAGTACTTAATATTATGTATTGTTACAGCAAAAATAAATAGTGCAGCTATATTATGTCCGCTGCATAAAATATTACATACAGACGACAATATTTAAGCTAAATAACTATTGCGATTATAATATAACTGTATTTATAACGAGTATGAGTCCAAATCATTGATTAGACATTAACATGCAAGCGGCTAGAAATAGAAGGCTATTGACACGCACGTATATGGTGGGAAAATGTGCACAAACACGCGAAATCCCTCCGAAACACAGGACAAAAATAATTGGGTCGAACTATTGGAACAACTTCAATATGTCGATATTAATTTTGTCCATTTTTCAAAAATGTAATTTATTTAACAGATATATAATTCCATAATTTGGTATAGGTAACAAAACTAATCTAGTTAAATGTGCCTATTCAAAAAAAAAAAAATCATGTCAATACTTTAACTAAAAAATTATTCACTATAGTAACATTTATAGAATTATAAAATGTATATTGTATGTATCGTTCATTATAATACAAAAAATTTAATTTTTGGATTCAGAATGAATTCATAATAATATGATAAACCAAGTTTATACAATTTCTAGTGATCTTCATGCTAGAAGAATAGTTGGTATTTTTATTCAGAAACTACGAGTACAATATTACAATATTTTAGTTTGTTTATTTTAGAGTAATWAATTATTAAAAATTAATAATTAAAATATAATACTGGCTTAGGTCAGTTGAGGAATGATGACGAAACCATTCAACAGAAATATCTAACACATATTAAATTCCATGCATTTTTTAATTATGAATCATGTATCTAGTACCTACCTAAAAATGCTAAATTATGTTTTTTACTATTGAGTATTAATAAATAAATTGTCCATAGATTTAACCAATTAACATTTTTATTTTAAATTTTATTCCATAGCCATATCGCCCATATCTAAACTAAATACTACATTGTAATAA